AAATAACAACTTTAATACTTTTACACACTGGTTTATGAGGGGAGCAAATAGAGCTAAAAAAGGAGGTTTTAACTTAGAGGAATGGACAGAACTTTTAGAATATGCTATGGGTCCTTTGGCTAGTAGACTATTGGGTTTCAATAACAGTGTGTCTGATCAGGCAGGAAGAATTGCTGAAACTAATTTCTATATACTCAGCATAGAGAAAGAAATAGCGAATATTACGATGAGGCCAGCAGATGGTCCTAGAGAGGTAGCTCAAAGGATATTGTTCTGGTATACACTACGCCAACCTCAACAGCCTCTGGTGTTGGGCTCACCAGAACACATTGCTAAAGTAATGGAAGCCCTTCCCTGGGAGTGTCAAGAATTTGTCAGGCTTTTTGATCCAACACCAGCAGACTTTGAAATGCTACTAACTAGAGCTGATAATTGGTGGCTTAAGCATCCTTCCTCAGAACAGGCCTTATCTGTTTCAGCCATAAGAACATTCAAGGTTGACTCTGGTAGAGATTTAGATGGCAAATGGAGAAGCCAAAGATGGGATGTACCTCAGAACAAGAGGGATAATGAGAACTGGAGACCAAAACAGGACTTTGACAAAAGATGGAGAGATCCACAGAGGGACCATAGGAATAGGGACAGTTCTAAAGGAAGTAATGTAATGGGAGATAATTGGAAAAATAGATGGGAGGAGCCTAAGGTAATCAATAATAATTGGAATAATAATAATAACACCTGGGAGAATCTAAAAAGGAGAGATAACTGGGAAAATCACAGATGGCAAGAAAAACAGAGAAACAACAGGAACAGTTATTGGGAGAATAATTGGAAAAGGAACCATAGATGGGATGATCAGACCAATAGACGGAATTGGGATAATTGGAGGAATAAAGAAGGGAATAAAGACTACTGGGACCTAAAGAGACAGACTGAGAGATTGGAGACAGACGTGAAAGCGCTTAGGGAACAGATGAGAGAGGGAAATACTGATCAATTGGGGGTGCCCAGCAATGAATAACTCCCATAATTTTTGTTGTCCTCTACATCTGTATGTATGTTTGTTTTTTCTTTTGTTTCTATATTTTATCTGTCTCACCATTATCTCGTAACACTCCAGTTTAAAGAGGACCTTAGTATGTATTGTTATATATATTTTTTTTAGTCATACTAAGGATAAGCCTCTAAATTCATTCATTACAGTCAGGTGGGCCAAATTCCAAATAATTTTTGTTTTTATTAGTTTAGCACGCCTGCACTGCCAGCTATGTTTTATTTATTTTCTGATGCTGGATTAATAATTATAAATTCATAGATTAAGTGAATTGTTGCCAACGTGAGGCTTATATTTGATCACACTGGAGAGATGTGATAGTGTAACTTTCTGTTGGTTTACAACAGTAAAAACTTTAAAAGAATTTTTTTTTTTATTTGGTTCCCAACAAATATAACCTCAAGTTGATTTTTGATTTTGATTTTTGAATAGCAACAGACAGTTTTCTATAGATTGCACGCTGCCAAACTGTGTAATGGTAGCATTCAATCTACTTTTTTTTTCTTCTCTCTCCATCTTTGATGCTTTGTTTTTTTTTGTCATTAAGAATATAGGGAAATTAGATTGCTTTGAGTGAAGATGGCATAAATAATAAAGTGACAATGTATGCTATTTGTTCTATTTGGCTATCCGCAGGGGGTTAAATAGTTATGGGTATGAGAATTTGCACCTACGTTCAATTGCGAATACATTTTTCACCCTTACATCTTTCCCACTCACGTTCATGTATAATAATTTTCGGTTTAAACTATGTACATTTTGTGATTATTGCATGTATTCATCAGTAAATTATAAAATAACTAATATGGTTTTGTGTTCAACTCTCCATCAGGTGTGGAGTAAATGTCTAAATTAATCAAAATTTCAGGAGACATTTGTGGGTCTTTTACATACCTCTAAAATGTAAACATAGCCTTAAGACACCACAACCAAATAGATTTTATTAGACAAAACTAGTTAAGCCTTTGACACAAGACAATATGCTGATTACTGTTGTACATATTTCATTGTCTGTGTTTGATTACTATACAGATGAAGAAGTGCTGGGATTACCAAGACAAACTATTATCCTGAAAATGATTACTATTCAGAAGAAGAGGTGCTGGGATTACACATCAAACTATTATCCTGAAAATGATTACTATTCAGATGAAGAGGTGCTGGGATTACCTGTCAAACTATTTATCCTGAAAATAGATACTATACAGATGAAGAAGTGCTGAGATTACCAAGTCAAACTATTAACACAGCCCAGAATGAGGGTAAAGTAACAGCAAGAAGCAGGAATTTGTGTCATTTCAAGGTGGTCACAGAATGTGTTTACCCTACACTCATGAACTTGCATGTGTCATTAAACCTACAAACCTCAAGCTTTGTAATGGATTGGCAAAGACAATATTCAAGGAGAGTTCATTCTAAAATCACAGCCATCAAGCACACAGATCAGTCACAGTCTTCAGATTCCAGTCCAAGGCGAAACATAAACTAGTGATAATTACTGTATGGGGTTGATTGCGTCTAGATATTACTACTTCACATGAACACATTACCATATAATATTAATGAACAACTACCAGAGTTCCTACCAACCCACTTGGGCAATGGTTAATTTAAAAACGGAACAACTGAAAACAATTGAAATTGGGGGAATGTGGGGTGATGCAACCCCTGTTTGACTATATTCTCTCACTTTTAAATGTGCTCAACATAAGAGAAAAAAAAGTGAGGGAATGTGGTGACATTCTGTCATCAAACTAATATGGTGACCAGGGATCATGTGACCAAGCTCTTACAGTGGGATAAGCTTTACCCTTTTGAAATGTTAATTGGTAATTCAATACTTTTACTAGTCAGGAAAGAGATAACCACTTCCCCCTATCTCCATTCCTCTCTGTTCCTTCTTGGCTGTGCTACTGAGCAGTCCTTTAAGCAGACATGGCCTAATTTCTATCATGGTGAACTGTGAGTGGGATTTTATAAGATGTAGTGGTTATTGTTAGTTAGGTTGTTGTTGCTGTTGTTGGTGGTATAGTTAGTTAGATTGTGTGTCATTATTTGTATGTTGTTGTTGTTTTGTCTCTGAATAAATATTTGTTAAAGTAGACGGACCAGAGTCGGACATAATAATTTATAGAGTTTGGTAATACACCACAGAAGGCAGATGCATTCTATGGACTCTTCACTGTTTCTGTTCAATAGTTTACTAAGAATGTCTTTCATGGTGTCTTCTGAAAGTAATTTTAATTTAAATAGCTCCCCAATAAATTTGATGTTCCCTTGGGATCGCTTGCGTGATTTCTTGCAGGCTTCACTTAATTCCTCCTTTAATCGAGTCTTTTCTTCAGGTAACGTAGCTGCTTCCAGTTCCTTTTGCAATTTTTCAATTCTTTCAACTCCATTTTCACCTCTTTCAAACTCCTTCTGGCAGAGGCTTATTAGCTGCCTGCGAAACGTAATGCATCCTTCACGATTGTCTTCTGTTGGGACCTGAAGCCTCATTAGCCAGTTGCACATGCTGGCATATATAACAGCAAAATGTGGCTCTGCTATCGCTTTTTCAAAAATGAGTTCTACAACGCCTTTCAGCTCATACTCTGTGTCTACAGAGAGGTCCTTCAGCTGTTTGATAAGGTTTTGAAACGTCTGTGGAGTGATCTTATTCAGAATACCACGGACTTTGCAAAGCAATTCTTGAGACTTGACACTGTTGGTATCTTTGTTTGCCCTTTTCATTGGAGGTTTCCAAGCTTTGTCAGATTTTTGCAGTGTAATGTTCTCATGTAGTTGAAGGATCCTGCGAGGTTCTTTACCAGGAGTGCGATGAGATTTCATTTGACCTATTCCACTTCGTTGTCTGTAATTACCCTTAGCACGATCGGAAACATTTTCAGATAGAGATGTACAATTTTTGCTGGTAAGTCGTGATGGATGAACTGGCCGAAGGTGAGGTCTAATAAGCATACCTTGGTAGATATTTGAGATTTCGAAGAAGTCCTTTGGCTGCAGTGTGGTTGATTGGAATTGGAGTAAAGAATCCCTGTTATAGCGTATCCTTTCTACCTTTGTTTTAATATTTGTCTTCTCTTGGAGCGCAGGTACTGCAAGGTCTTGGTTTTCTGTGATTTGAATTGGTACTACACCGGCCTCACCAGATGGTTCTTTTTCTCTGTCTTCTTTCTTTGGCAATGGCTGCTCTCCTGGATCACTGTTCATGCTCACAAGTGCTTCAGGTTGAATATTCTTAATCTCAGTTTGGTTCTGCTCAGCGATGCCCTCTTGATTGATTAGAAGCAACTCCTCTGGCTGAATAGTGGGGGAATCCAAAGTAGTCTCAGAGTGATAAGTCACATTGTCAGAGTTTACTGGCAGCTCCTCTAACATTTCACCAGTGTGTGGTTTGGCAGGACAAACTGGGCTCTCTAGTAGACTACCAGATTCCTTAACGGTGATTGGGTCCTGAGAATCTAGATGTGTAAGCTCAGGTGAACAATTTGAAGAGGACTGTGGGTGTCTAAGGTGTACTGGAATCTCCTCTGTCAATATGTTTGTATGAGGTTCGATAGTGCAAACAGTGCATTCTAGTGTATTGTTGTCTTCTAAACATGTGATAACCTCTGTAGGCTCTGGAGACATAGACTGCATGAAATGACAATGAACTGTGATTGGGTTCTGAGAATCTAGATTTGTAAGCTCAGGTGAACAAGTTGAAGAGGACTGTGGGTGCCCAAGGTGTACTGGAATCTCCTCTGCCAATCTGTTTGTATGAGGTTCGATAGTACAAACAGTGCATTCTAGTGAATTGTTGTCTTCTAGACGTGTGATAACCTCTGTAGGCTCTAGAGACATAGACTGCAGCAGAGGACAAGGAATATCTTCTAGACTTGTGATGGGTTCAGGCTGTAGAATAGGAATCTGTTCATAATACTCTAGAGAATCTTTCTTTTCTTTTTCCAGTTCATTTGTGTCTACTTCCTTTTCTGGGACACTTGCAGCCTTTATAGTTGCTATGTGTTTTTTTGGAAGTAATGTAGGCTTTACCTTAGAAAAAAGGAATGGGTCCCTGCAATGAAAATAGAAAAAGTAAAAAAAAATTATTGTAAAAATGAAATCCTTTCCTCCCTTTCCATCCATCAGCCCATTTTGTCACGTATCATATTCCTCTCACTTTCAGCCCGTCAGCAACTCTATCACTCTTTATCAGTCAGTATTGTATAGCTTACAGTGACACTATAACACCATGTATGGTTCAGACATTACATTATGCTTTCTGTCATTTCAGTAAATAGTTAATTTTGTATTATAAAAGCTTATGTTTATATTAAAATTCATATCTTACTGAAATTAGGTAATGCTTAGTAAGTCATGTTGCTGTATTACTCCCTAGTGATTTGTGATGTTGGCTCAGAAAGACCATTGACATCTTTCTCTGTCTGTGATTCTTCTCTCATTGGTTTCCTGTGTACACAGACAGCCAGTGAGATAACCTGGGTATTGGCTTACTGAGGACCCTGCAGTTTCATTTGGATAACCTTATAGGATTATGGTCAGTTATTCTGTGTCTCATGATACACTTACCTAGGTGGTCGAGCATATGTCATTTGTTTGTTGGTTATTGTTGGAGTCACCCGAATATAGTATGGTACATCGGGAATCTTCTCCTCTTTTCCATATCTGACATAGTTATTATTATGTCTAAAGTTTTTGAAGAAACACACAAAAAAAACAAAAAGTTAAGGTTTATTATTAGAGCAGATTATTAGAGCAAAACATCAACAATAGAAAAAAACCTACAATATCCCCTCCCCCCCCCTTTGATTAATGTGATCATATAGTATTTACCTTTTATCAAGCACAGCAAATTTAGATTTAACAGAAGGGGGAAGGCGACGTCTAAATGTGCCTTCTTGGCAACATTTTAGAACTTCTTCCACAAACCCACCATTCTGTTTCTGTGGCTCCCGTCTCTTCCCCTTCTCAGTTTCTAGAGAAATATCCAGATTAGGTGATATCTTGGGGAATGTCTGGGGCTCTGCTTTAAGAGCTAGCCTATTTTGAAGAGAAAAAGTGATTAGTGAAGTTTCATATGTTGCACATTTGATGTTATATTTCTGGAGTAACCGAGTGTGTTGAAGAGATGATAAAAGAAGCCATTATATACTATGCGTTGCTATTTGGGTTGTATTGTAATGGTTAACTAATGCAATTTGTGATTTATGATGCTTTCTGTGGTTCTTCTCTCATTGGTTTCCTGTGTACACAGACAGCCAGTGAGAGAACCAATCTATTGGCTTACTGAGGACCCTGCAGTTTCATTTAGATAACCTTATAGGATTATGGTCAGTTATTCTGACTTACCTAGGTGGTCGAGCATATGTCATTTGTTTGTTGGTTATTGTTTCAGTCACCCGAATATAGTATGGTACATCGGGAATCTTCTCCTCTTTTCCATATCTGACATAGTTATTATTATGTCTAAAGTTTTTGAAGAAACACACAAAAAAACCAAAAAGTTTAGGTTAATTATTAGAGCAGATTATTAGAGTTTAAAATCTCAATTTGTTAAAACAAAACATCAACAACAGAAACAAATCTACAATATCCCCTTCCCCCCTTTGATTAATGTGATCATATAGTATTTACCTTTTATCAAGCACAGCAAATTTAGATGTAACAGAAGGGGGCAGGCAACGTCTAAATGTGCCTTCTTGGCAACATTTTAGAACTTCTTCCACAAACCCACCATTCTGTTCGCGTGGCTCCCGTCTCTTCCCCTTCTCAGTTTCTAGAGAAATATCCAGATTAGGTGATATCTGGGGGAATGTCTGGGTCTCTACCTTAAGAGCTAGCCTATTGAGAAAAGAAAAAGTGATTAGTGAAGTTTCATATGTTGCACATTTGATGTTATATTTCTGGAGTAACCGAGTGTGTTTAGGAGATAATAATAGAAGTTATTATATATTATGCATTGCTATTTGGGTTGTATTTTAATGGTTAACTAATGCAATTTGCGATTTGTGATGTTGGCTCAGAATGACCATTATTCTGTGTCTCATAATACACTTACCTAGGTGGTTGAGCACAAGTCATTGATTTTTTTGGAGTCACCCGAGTATAGTATGGTACATCGGGAATCGTCTCCTCTTTTCCAGATCTGACATAGTTATTATTATGTCTAAAGCTTTTGAAGAAAACCACAGAAAACAAAAAGTTCAGACTAATTCTTACAGCACCCAGCTTAGAGGTTAACATCTCTATTTGTTAAAACAAAACATCAAAAATGGAAAGAAACCTGGAGTTGGGGCTCTGCTTTTAGAGGTTCCCCATGTAGGAAAGAAAAAGTGATTAGTGAAGTTTCATATTTCAAACGTTTGATGTTATATTTCTGGAATAACCGAGTGTGTTTAGGAGATGATAAAATAAGCCATTATATATTGCTATTTGGGTCGTATTGTAATGGTTAAATAATTCAATTTGATGTGTAATACATGTGACATGTCTGGACTAATTTCATCCTGCGCTTAATCCCAGGATGGAGCTGCCTAATCAGGGTCTCAAACACTGTTACTAATTCCTATATATTTTATCTTCTTTTTACCGCTGTATATCATGCCTGCGTATTTTATTTTAAATCCCATTACTACATATGGGCTAGGCTACACACATTCATTGTTTTGTTCATTTTTATTTCATCTGTTAAGAAAA